CATTTAGTAAAAATGTAGATGGTAGAATTAGATTTCATTATGAAAAGGTTATATAAAGCCCGCTATGCTCCTCTAATTAAAAATACATGAGTCATATAAAACAAATATTTGGACGACTAAAAATCCATTGATGAACAAATCTGTTGGTTTCAATGTTCCACAGAAGGGTCAGACCATTCTTTGTTTTTACGGTAAGGTGAGATTATGCCTCTCATAAAAATCGGTGGCTAAATACCACGTTAAAACTGATATATAGGCCCCTCGAAATGCAAAAAAATACGGCGAATTTTTGAATAATGTACAGTAACATATCAGTGTAACAAAATTTTCTTAGACCTACTGTACAGCATTGCACGGAGTATCTGGCGTGATTCGATTTTTATATAATGAAATATTAAATCACATGTATTTGATATCACTTGATTCTATAAATATGTAATATTCTTTACATTATTTGTCACGCATGGTGCTAGATGCAGTGCTGTACAATAAGATGCTAAAATGCATTTTTTTTAAATAGAAAAAATTCACCTGTGTGGTAAATAAAATGAAATTTATACTTACTATCTAATAATTTGACAAGACAAAATATTTATTATGTTATAATTGGCATAACATAAAATTAAGTGAAATTCTAGTAACCATATACTTACATTCTAATAGAAGAAAGTGTGCGCAAGCTAGTACATGCGATACCTAGATGGAAAGGGATGGTGGTGGACAAACCAATTAGAAAGTTTGTGAATTTAGTCACAACTTCAGTACTAGATGCAGAATAGGCAGGGTTAAATAGGATGAAAAGATGGGTAGGGAATGAAAAGAAGGATAGTTTAAACTAGAGAGAAACATGGAAATATATAGAAGGGGTAAAGGGTAACAAGTATATAGATAGTAAAACTAATGATAGATGGATATTTAGAGTTAAGTGCCTAAACGAAGTACTGCCAATGATGACAGAGTTGAGAATGAGAAGGCTGGACTTGTATAGAAATGACAAATATATCATTTGCTTATAGAAGTCAGAAATGATAGATCACTTAGCAAGCTGCGAAGAATATCAAGGCATATGGAACATAATAGAAAAAGAAACAAGCAATGAAATAAGAAAAAGATTAAGAAAAGATGAGTTCACCAAAGAAGTACCAGATAATTCAAAGATAAGAGAAACTATATTCAGTACAAACAGTGAAGAATGAATAGAGTCAAGAATCCATATTATAAGAGGTCTAATTAGGAAAGAACAGAAGCAAAGAATAGAAAAGGTATTACAAGACAAAAATGCAGCTAACAAGGCAATAAGCATCGCACTCACTAAATATTAGCTGTTAGCATTCTTGATCAGAACGTTACACGAGTACTCAAAAGATGTTTATTCATATCACTAACGCTAACGCTAAGTTGACTCAACCAAAGATCTGAATGGTCATATGATTTCGCGGTCCCATGGGACCGCAAAATCATGTGAAGTTATACTTTAAAAAAAAAAGCTTTAATATAGAGGTAAGTGAGATCTGTTCAAAATATTTATACAAACCTTTTTCCTAACATTAACACTTTATCAAAAGTGCCGTGCTCTCTTTTGCTCGGAATATTTTAAAATTATAAGCAGCCAATTTTATAATTGTTATGGTTGACCTATAGAGTGTTCCGAAGAGTCCAGTGAAAGCACGAATATCCAAAAAGCTTATTCTGAAGAAAACAAGGAAGTTGTTTATAGACGAAAGAAAGGAAACCAGTAATTCTAATTTGTTTTTTGTTTAATTTTATTTGACTAAAAATAATATAATTGCCTAACGAACAATAATGATAAAACATTGATTAGTATAAATTCGAGAAAAATCAAAATCACAGATGAATTCATATTTATCAACAAGACAAAGTCCATAAAACTCATTAGAAAGAGAAGGAATGTTATAACCGATCTGTTGATTGCTATTTTTCTTTTTTTTGTTCTCGATTCGGAATGTTACTCTTGAATAATATTATATTTTTTTTTACAAATATATATTCGAATTTATTCAAATTATTTATATAAATTTTTTTTCATGAAATAACAATAGCTTCATCTAATTATCTTAAGAACGAAATACATCAAATGCCCACTTAAACCATCAAATTAGCTTACAATAGTGTTTATATGTTTCTAAGCGAAACTCAAGATACCTGCCTACATTAAGCTTAATTTAGGCCAAATTAAGCTTAATGTAGACCAAAATATTATAGTTTAATCGTAGAAAGTTCTTTATGTTGTGAATGGTTTTATCATAAAATCCCGACATCCAAAATCTCGACAGGCCATAATACTGACATCACGCGATGTGACAATTAAAAATTTAAAGCCTGACAATGATTGTTAATATGATTACTAACCTTTAAACATTAATTGTCACGTCGGAATTATGGTTTTCGAGATTTTGGATATCGGGATTTTGTGGTGGAACCGTTGTGAATACATTAAACAGGATAATGATTGATTAACGACGATACATAATTGCTATCCATATTTGGTATGATCAGAAATGTACCATTTAACGATATTTGGTCTGACTTTTTTGATTAATTTCTTTAATGATTCGACCAAGTTTCAATTGCTGTAAAAAACTTATCGGCTAGCGTTAACGTCAATAGCTTTGATTACTAATTTGTAGATATAGATATTTGATAAATAGTGATGACAATGCAAACTAAATTATTTGAGCGGCTTCAGGCGACATTTGCGACTTTTCTCCGACTTGTTTCCGTGAAGATCCTTATAATCCGAGTTTCCTATATAAATAATATGTATTAAGCTTTCGTAAAATTTTTTAGAAAAGTTGTGATAATATTCATTAATGAATTTTTCTTAAGTTTAAAAAATACATTTAACTAAGTCTTATTTTGTGAAAATTAACGCAATACTGAAGACAGTTATTTTCGGATAACAGAACTATGATTTACACCTAATGTTGGGCAATTTTTATAAATTCAAATCCGAACCATACACTTAAAATATATATATATAATCACACATCGCGAAGTAATGTCCCAGGATATTATTTCAATATACGTAATTTAAAGAGAATCAATAATTACTTTAAGAAATGTGAGCATGATTTTATTAGTACTCTTTAAATTGCATGACCCACCGGGTATACTAATTTTCATGTTAAATTTAGCTCAGTTTTCTGTCTTAATGTAAGCAACTTTTTTCCTTTTTGAATACTAGAAGCTATAAATAATAATTTTGTCTATAATAATTTTCTAGTTAAAATTGCAGCTTATATAAGTTAATACATAACAAAACAATGCTTAAAATATTAATTAATCTAAGAATGGCTTTGCACTGTACTAGGAATTAATAGCTATTTTTTTAAGAGAGATGCATAGAATAAAGACAAACAATTATGCTTATAAATAGAAATTATGGTGAGTTAAAGTAACTTAGCACCTAGAGAAAATTGAAATTATTTTTTTTTATACCCGACTTTGACATTCGATTTAAAGTTAATAATGATTTTGTAGATAAAAATCAAGTTCAGGTGTATTAGAATTCTGAAATAGGAGTTGCGATAAATTGGGTTCTGAGGTAGGAAGTTGAGATAAATTAGACTCAGACATAGGAAGTTGGTATGGAACATAGGCTGTCGATAAACCAGATTCAATCATGAATTTAGCCAAGTTGAATCCATTTTTCAGCTGTATCTTTAAAAGGTCTTCAAAAAGCTCTATATATGATGGAATTTTGGTATGAAATATTCAGTGGCTATACTATAATATATAACATAAATATTAACTCACCTTTTCCTATCTCATATTTATTCTCATCGCCAGGTAAAAAATATAATTTACCATTTTCTTCGCAAATTTTGGGTTCAAAATATGAATCTGATTGAATGACATTAAATTTTGTGAGAACATCAAATATATCTACTTATGCGGAAGAATAAAATTATGTTGCTTGCCTTCAGTAATTTCTTTACAATTCATGCATTGAGGAAATGGGCCTTTTTTAATATATTCATTTTTCTTATAACAATCCAAGCATTGGATTAAGCACCCTTTTTTCTTTCTCTTAAGCCTTTTACAACTAGTGCATTTAAATGGGCCTAAAGTTTTACGATGGTCGCATCCCTTTTTTTGCCTAATACAACGAGCACATCTTTTCGCAAATTGTAACTCGTTAATAGGTTTTGTTAAGTTGGTAAGTTTTAAAAATTTAACAGGTTCTGACATTATTAGGTGAAAAGTGTCGACTTAAAATAATTCTCGAAACGTTATACTTTTAAAACTGATTAATTATATCTTCCGTCTGCAAAAACTTATAATATCAATTTTGCCGGACAAAAATTTCGCATGTCTATTATCGTATAGTAAGACAATTTGGAGCACAAATCGACGTTTTGCATAATCAAATATTATAAAACATAGTGCCGACAATTATTTCCGCTGAATTTTGTTCTCACATAAGATTAAGATTTTCCACGAATATTTAAATGCCAAGATTTTATTATCAAATGCAAAATGGAACTGAATCGAAAAAGAAATCCTAGAAGCTGTGGTGCATGTAGAGCAAGAAAGAAAAAATGTATTTATAACAAAGGTCAAGCATGTGAAGGATGTATTAAATCAAAGAGAATGTGTAGCCTTTTAGAAACAGACCAAAAACAGCAAATTTCAATTCAAATTACACCTCAATCACTGCCCAACGAAATGAATTTTAGTTCAGAGGTTAGTGCCTTTCAAACATTATTTAGGAGATCACTAAATGTAATGCACGATAAATTCAAGCGAATTATTCCACTAGTAAAGAATTCAACGTCTACTGATAATTTTTTAAATCATAGTTTCCAAATAATAATATCTCCACCGAGCTAAAAAAGATATCTAAACCAGAATTGTCAAATAGGTGCGCATATTGCCAAAGGATGAAAAAAAAGTGTGTTTATAATGGAATACCAGGAGAATCTCGATGCGAGGGATGCAAGCGGAGAAGCAAGGAGTGTTTATTCCGATGTTTAGAGTGTTATAAAACGAATGTAGACGAAAAGTTTAATTTTTCCCATTGTATGAATTGTAAAGTGGTCATAGAAGGTAATAATTCTGGGTTTTTCTCATTATCATCAATTCACAGTTTCCTCAAAACTGGGCTATTTTTAATATATATTTAATGTTGAGGTATGTTCTACGACCAATGTTGCTAATATTAGTAAAACATGGTTGATAAAATGAGAGCAAGCTTAGTCTCTAATCATTCGTCGACTTATGAATATGTAATTCTTATCTATGTACGTTATTCTTAGTGTAAGATTTTTATTCTAACAATCAACTAGATCCTACGGAGTATAGTGTCGTTACAGATTTGTACGCTCAAAAACTCTACCTTCGACATTCTAGCTGTAATCATAAGAATGAAATTACTACTGGTAAAAATTATTTATAAATTTCTAAATTTTATTGTTTCTTGGAAACTTAACCTTAATATTAAACTACAATAATAGTTTTAATAGATGCTATAATAGAATCATATAAAGCCATTAATCCGACCTATAAAGCAGCGTTTAGTACAAGTGGCAACCAAGAATATTCGGGTATTCTCAATCTGAGACAAGATTTTTATTCGATGTTTCAAAATGTTAATTATCCCACCGGACTATTAGGAGGTAACTTAAATAGAGAATTCTTTAGTTAAATCAATGCAAGTTTTTTTTTTATTAAAACTTAAATTTCACATAACAGAAACGACCCTACCGTCTGCCATCAATTTTAATTTGCCTCAGTTTTGCGAATCAATTGCCCCCGACCAACACGGCTACATCGCACAGTCAAACGTCAATTTTAATATAACCCAACCTTGTGAATTAATTATTCCCGAACAAGGCAACCATTTGTTACAGTCTGACATCTATCAATCTACTTGCTGTGCCCCAAATTATGAAATACCAGATGCTAACAATACTATCAACACTCATTCGGGTATTTATATTACTGCTCCCGAAGTACTTGCGACAGGTGGCACTAGTGATGCAATCAAAATGTGATATTAACCAATAATATATAACTACTGACATTCCCAAATTATTAATCATAATTTTCATAAATATATCTTTGTTACTTTAATGAGTATTATTAAACTGTAAATTAGGAGCAGTTGCTAATGATAAAATTAAAATACGAAAATTTGCCTTGATTTAGTCAAACTAGCATAGTGCGAGCGAATTATAAAAAAATATACACGTGGGTGTCGAGTGATGCACATTTTTTAAAGGGAACAATTTTTTGATTCATGCAAACACTTAAAATTGATTTTATGGTTCCTTCATAAACTCATGTTTCACTTAACCTAAGGATCAGGTTTCGCAATGGGTTGGCCGGGTTTGCCTGGGTCCGAATCTCTTAAATTATAAGCCAAAATAATACAATTCATTAAAAAGTTAGCAATCTTAAACTCAATTCGTTCTCCGACGGCATCTTGATGCCGTTGGAGAATGAAATGAGGTTGAAATTATAAAATATTATTGTCAAATGCCGACTTAAAGCGCCAATTTAGCTTACCAGTTTATATTATTCTAAGCTAACTTGCCTACATTAAGCCAAATTAAGCTTAATGTAGACCGAAATTGTAGAAAAATTCTTTACGTGTACACATCAACAGGAGGATCACCAAATTTCAGGGTCAGAACTATCGGATTCGGGCCTGCATTTAGCAATACAAGCAACCATTCCTGGGCCAAAATTATCAGCTGGGCAGCTTTACTTAATGAGTGGGCTAGGGCTTCATTAGTAAAACTTTTAGGGATCCTCGGCATCTACTGCATTTCCCCGTTAGATTTAAAAAAAGATCTCACTATTAGCTAGTAGCTTCCTTTTTTAATATCTTTTTAGATCAAGTTCTACAGTATTGTTTCTTCTAAGTGGGTTGATAGCTAATATATAATATGTCGTATTCTAATTTTTCAAAATGAATTTATTTAGATTTTTTAGTTAAAAAAATAATACAGAAAATGGTTGAACATTTTAAACAATTAATTACGAAATAGCAAAACATAATTTCGGTATTTAAACAATAAAAAAGATAATTTAATTCATTTCTGTCAACAAATCTATTACATTGAATTACGCTAATTTCATAAATTATTTCTTGGATTTTTTTTGATTCTAAACATATCTTAGGACAATCCAGTTTTCTTCACGCGATTTTGTCGATAGTAAGCAGAAATTTTATGCTATATATATATATATGTTCACCATTCTCAAAATTTATTTAAAGTTATGATTGCATCATTTTAAGAATTTAATTGCTTTCTCAAATTTAGAGAAGTGAACTATAACTATAGTTCACTTTAAAACTGTAGTTAACTGTAGTTTATATTGAAACAATTAACTGTATAGTTTATATTGAAACAATTAACTGTATAGTTTATAGTTAACATCTTTACTCAAATTACATTCCTGCGAATTGTTTGATATTCAATACATAATTAAAGTTAATTGAATTTATATATATAACAATACAATTATGGCGTGTATGAATTAAAAAATAATTAAATATAAGATTCACAAATTGTATATGATTTTATACCTTTTATACCTTGTAAGATGTTCAATAATTCTCCTAATCATCCAAGTCAAGAAAGTACAGAAAGTGATATCGTATTAAAGAAGAAGTCATGAAAAAAGTCTTCACCAAAATTGATGCTGATAGTAATAATTTTATTAACATTGATGAATTATATGTATTCATGAAATAAAGATCTAGTCATAAAAAAGACAAGTACATTTACATCGTAATTATTATTATTATTATTATTATTATTATTTTAATTTTCATAATGATAAAATTTTAAATATTTTATTTAGTTTAAGAATATGAAAATTGAACGAATGAATTTTGATGATTTCAAAGTTTTTATTAATCGTCATCCTGGTTATGTTGAAAATATTTTTGATCAAAAAGATATTCATCTTGTTACATTGAAAAATAAGTCCTAATAAGTAAAATTAAAGTGGTATTAATATGTTTTTAAAAATATATTGAAATCATTTGAGAGAGCTCTTTAAAAGGATAGTTTAAATGGACGTCCAAATGTATTATTGAAAATATTTTTATATATAAATATCACAAAACTAACAGGAGAAATTTATGCCTAATGACAATTATGAAGGACCGCTCGCAGATTTAAATAAAGCATTAAAAATTAAACCAAACAATGTAGATTTCCAAAAATCACTAGAAATTGAGTCGGATAAAACAGATGCATTAGGAAGCTTAAAGAAATTTATCGTACAAGACTTAACCGCTTTTGTTTTTTAATAGCAATAATCCAGTGTTATTTACTGTTCATATACTTTTGAAAAAAACTGCGGCAATATTGAGACTTCAATGTTATTTTAGATTTCCTAGTATGATAAAATTTGAATTTTAATCTGACAATTATTTAACATGTTTAAAATTCTGCTAAAAAACTGGTTTTAGCTGCTCAAAATATTTAACATTTTGGAGATCGAGTCTAAAGCTGATTAATAAGTAAATATAGATAAATTTCTGTCAACGAACCAGAAATAAATAATGTAAAAAATGTCAACGAATTTGAAAAAGAAATAACATACCAGAAACAAGCATAAATAATGTTAATGATCATTATATAATTTACAAGTGGCTTTTGCTATTTCATTTATTCTCAATAAATTTTGAAGCTATCTTGATTATTTAATAGTCAAAAGAAAGCTTAATATCTAACGCTAAGCTTTCTTTTGAATTTTAGCTTCAAAATTCATCGAGATAATGATTTTGACGCAATTAATAATATTAATTACATTAATGTAAACTTCAAAATTTACATCGTTGTTTTGTTAGAATTAAGGAAGTTGTCAATTTTTAACGATATAATACTGTAATGGCATTGGCATTTTTTTTATTCTAATACTTTGCAATTGCGTTTAAGAAACTGTTCTGTCATTTTCAGAATTAAGAGACTATCCGGTTAATAAAACTGATTAATCGATTAAATTCGATTATAATAAAACCGATTAATCGATTATAATAAAACCGATTAATCGATTAAATCCGGTTATTAAATCCGGTTATAATAAACCCGATTTATCGATCTAAAAAATTTTCAACTCGGTTATAAATCCGATTACGATAATCGGTTCCAATCTCTAGTTGCAGTTTTAAAAACTTTTACTAATTGCATATCGATATCTTCAAATTTTGATAAAAATTTTTTAGCACA